TGAAATATTTTTTAAGTTCATCCATTAAACATTTATAATTTACATTTAAAATATTATACTTAATCGATAATGTTAATCTTTCAATCCATTTGTTAACGATAAATGCATGAAATTTTGCATCTATGATTAGTAGGATTTCTAATTGATGTAAATATCATTTATATAAAATTTAAGATAATAATATTTTTTTATTTTACATATATATGTATGAGTCACGTTGAAGTTTTATTTAAAAATTTTTAAAAGAACGATAAAAAGAAAATATTTGAATGATTTAATTTAAATTCCCTTTTTACATTGAAAAGATAAATCAAACGAAAGACACACACTGTGCGTTACTGAACTTCCTCCTTCAGTGTCCTGGAACCAAGCCAAAAATAGGAAAAGGAAGGTAATGGGTAGGAGCATACGCTAAAAGTAAGATCCTTTTTCTTCTCTCAACGTAACGTCTCGTTTTCGGCACCTTTAGAAACGCCATTCCATCCAGGATCATCCACACGTTCTTTCGAACGCGTTCTCCTGAGAGCACATATCCTTAAATAGGTCCACCCTTTTCTCGTAGAAAGGTGCAACTATATATATGTATGTATGTGTACGTATGTACTGGGTGGTACAGACAAAATGTTCAAAACTAACTTTAATAAAATCTTAAAAAAAAAAAGAAAAAAATAGACAAATATTTTTATTAAATTTATCAATTTATCGATTTAAAAAGAAAAAGTTAAATATTATTAAAATATCAATCAATTAATATTATATATTATTTGATAATACTAAACAAAAAAATTCACAACATACTTTTTTAAAACTATTTATTATAATGAATCTAAAAATTTTAACTTATTTTTAACAATTTTAAATATATAATTATAATGAGTTTTAATGAAAGTAATATTCGTGAGATCACGTAAGCGAGTTTGTACATATAGGGTGTCTTAATAATATATGAGAAATATTTCAAAAGTTTCCACGTATCTGAACGATGAAAAAAAACAACTTTGCATATAAACATGTATCCTATTCTAACTTTGTTTTCGAGTTATAGGGAGTATTGTATGATAATATGTAATAATTCTTTCTTCGGACGGATGTAGTAAAACATTGTCAGTGACAAAGATTCTTGGTGGCAGAATAGGAAAAAGTTTTTCGAGTAAATCCGAGCAACATCTGGACATATCGATAAAGTAAGACAGTCATTGATAAAACATCCCTAAGTTTGTATTCCCGTAAGAGAGGAAAGACAGAGCGAAGTAATTTGAAAGATTTCTTCTAAAAGTATAAAAATAGACATAGTTTATTGAAAATCAAATGGCGCTATAACTCGAGAAGAAAAACAGAGAAAATTTAACAAAATGTTTGAGGGAACATTTTTATTTTTTTTTTTTTTTTTTTCTATTGACAATTTGAACTTGGTAAATTTCAAAGTAAATTCAATTCTTGAAAATATTTTTCATTTATTTTAAAACACCCAGTATACATGTAAATATATGTACCTGTATGTAGTATACTTGGTACGGTAATGAAACGGTCTCGGAGACCTTTCGCGTAGGAGGTGAAGCGAGTTTTATCATGCCGAAACTGGAGAATGTTAGACTAAGGTAGAAGGGAGAAAGAAACTAGCACCGAAGGAAGAGAAAAAATAGCAGAGCCACGTAACGGCATATTTACCCGTACATACGTAAATGCATACATACATACAAACATCAAAGAAGCAAAGAGGAAAGAACACGTAATGGAATCCCTTTTTAGAGTGCTTACTTACGAAACTAATTCCTTAATATTTGTCTTTTTTCTTTCTCCTTTTTATCGCCCCATCCAGTTCATGTTTAACAAAAATTTGCATTTTCAAATAGGAAAAATGATTGAAATAAAATTGATCTAATTTATCTATGCATGTGTAACACGTAATAAAACGTATACATATTATATATATATATATATATTTTATAACACACGTATTAATATAAAAAAAAAAAAAAAAAACAAGAAAAGCAACAATTTACATCTTCTGGGTAATTTTTAAAGAGGAGAAAATAGTTTAAATAAACGTTTGTTATAACATGTGTCATATTATTTTAGAAAAACGTTCTTTATTCTAAAAAATACAAGCAAAAAAAAAAGAGGACAACGAGAAACACGATACTTTGTTTACTTAATTAAATGTAAAAGATAAAAATAAAAAAAGTGAAACATTTTAAGGAAGAGATTTCTCTCTTTCTCTCGGTTTTTCTCGTTAGAAAGACTTTCTCGTGTAGTGCAAAATCGCGTTGGTCCAACTTCCGTTTTAAGAAACGCTATTTTCTTCTTAAATAGACCGTGCGAATAATTAAGTTTTTCGCATAAAAAATAGCGAGATATCTCGTTAATAATACATGAAGCATCCTCACTGGTAATTTCGAAAGACTCAACTTCTTTTCTTCGTTATCTTATATACATTTTCTTAATGGTGGACGGGGGGAGAGGAGCTGGTCTTTAAACATTTTTTCCCCCTACTAATTTTTTCCCCCTTTCTATTCCTTTTCTCTCAATTATTTATTTATTTTTTTTTTTCATAGATTTTCAGTCAACTCGCTATACGCTCGGAAACAAGAGACGATCCTATTTCGTCGAAAATACTACTCCTTACTATGTTTTCCAAAAGGTTTCCCAAGACAGCTATATTTTTCTTAAATTTTTAAAGAAGCAAGAAAACAAAGGGGTAAATAGACAAAGTCTGAAAATAGCGGCACATATATATAAAGTTCAGAAAGATCGATGTGTGTTGATGTTGCTACAGAAAAACAAGTTCCTTCTCTTTACTGGACAAGGAAAAGTATGTGTTAAGTAAAGTATTGTTAAAGACCGTGCTAAAAAGGAAGACTGAAAGAGCATGCAAGCAAGAAAAAGGAGAACAAGAAAAAGTTACTATGATCAAGGAAAATATATTTTCAACTATGAAAACAAAAATTTTTAAAGTAACTTCGTGTATTTACTTTCTGAATCTTCAGATAGACGCGATAAATAATAAATAATAATAAATTAAAAATAAAATGCTATAATAATTAATCGGTATCTTGAAATTTAATTAATTATACCAAAATCGCCCGGTTTTTTTCGTCAAAGAACTAGACAGATGCCTGAAAAATGAACCAAAATCATCAAAAGGAAAATGTTTTCGAAGAATAACACATGTATAATTACTTTATAAGTAAATACTACATTTGTAAAAAAAAAAGAATCGAATTAATTGTAATAACAAATCGGAATTATCATAATTGAATGTGAGCATAAAATAACAAAAATTATAACTCGATCCTGCCAGGATTCGAACCTGGAATCTTCTGATCCGTAGTCAGACGCGTTATCCGTTGCGCCACAGGACCGTTGAGGTCGGCATTCGAGAGTAGTCATTCAGAGTTTCATAAATTATAAGAAAATTACAGAAAAATTAATTTTAACTGCTACAAAAAATCCCTCAGAAGAAACGATATGACGTCACATTACTTTTAACTCATCATATGCGTTCTGTTTTACAACTAAGACTAAATTATACATTTTGTTGTGTTCCTAATTTTTTCTAACTTAGCTTAACCATACAAACATTACTAATTTCTCCCACTACCATCTAATTTATTGTTTTTTGTTTCTGGTTATTGTTCAGTATCAAATATATTTGATATGCAAGCTCCCTCTCTCTTCTTTTTTTTACGCATACGTCATGCACGCATTTTATTTCTATGTTCCTTACATCACACATTCCTAATTCTATAGAACCCACATGGACTATACTTATCTTAAGACACAAATATTCTGTCGCAGCGGGCACATTTTCTTTCTTTCATTTCTAAACATTTTAGATTTCATTTCAGCGAATAAGATGAGCATAATTGGTCTAGATTAAAAATATAAAGTTCGTATAGAAAATTAATACAAATTTTAAACCTTCATCAATATTATCAGAATGTTTTATATTTTGTATAAATGGTAAAAAAGAAAAAAAAAGTTGGCCCATGGGGGGATCGAACCCGCGACCTTCGCGTTATTAGCACGACGCTCTAACCAACTGAGCTAATAGGCCACTGTGGCTGCGGGGACCTAATTATAAAACTAATGTCGCATACCTTATTATAAATATTGATGTATATATAAATATTTCATAATAATTATTATTATTAATTGGCATTAGGAATTCAAAAGTTCATTGCTGCAAATATCAAATACACAAACACATGTGCACTTGTAACATTATATACAGCTTTCTTATATAGTCCACACTAAGTTATTGACATGACAACACGTAATATAAATTATGTAATCCTTCAGTTACGTAATAATAATATAACTAATAGCAGAAATACTACATAGTCGAATTTTTTCAAAGAAAACACGATATCTTATTCTGTAAATTTTCTCGTAATCTTATTTGTAACTCTTATATATAAATAAATGTATTGAAATATCTTATAATTTAAATTTGAAAAAATAAAAACAGCTTTTATTTTACATATATAAAAATGATAAAAAAAATAAGGTTGGCCCATGGGGGGATCGAACCCGCGACCTTCGCGTTATTAGCACGACGCTCTAACCACCTGAGCTAATGGGCCTGTATGAAATCGTGTGTTTTAAGATGTTAGATTTTCGGAATGTGTATTTTTATTTAATATTTATTTAGGAAAAAACATATATTTATAATATTATTTAAAAATAAATTACACATTTATCCTATATATTCAGGGAACTAAAAAAAAAATATTTCATACGGATAAAAAAAAATAATTTGGCCCATGGGGGGATCGAACCCGCGACCTTCGCGTTATTAGCACGACGCTCTAACCAACTGAGCTAATGGGCCTGTATGAAAAAGTGTCCGTTAAGATGGTATATTTTCACAATATAGTCTTTATTTAATATTTATTCAAAAAAAAAAATTTATTTTTTATTGAAAATCACAGTCTCATAAATATTTTATACGTCTAAGGATTATAAAATAAATATACTAAATGCAAAATAAAAGATATCGGCCTGTGACGGGGATCGAACCCGCGACCTTCGCGATTTAATCAAAGTGCGATGCTCTACCCACTGAGCTAACAGGCCTTGTTATTATAAACGTCATTAAAATAGTATATATTGGTATGGATAGATTCAACCGACGTGTTGAAAAGAAAATTATAATTAATGGATGCACCCACAACTGTATAGCTTACATTGAGAAACTCTTGCAAAGGAAACCAAACTGCAAATTGAATAAAAATCATTTCGTTGACTTGCCTGTAAGAAACAACAATTGCTAAATCTAACTGTTTGTAATACTTGTTTTTAAAGAAAAGAAAGAAAAAATAAATACTATCTTTAAGATCTATTATCGAACCAATCACAGAGAAGATTTGTGGTTCCCATCCAAAACGAATTCTCATCTACCACGAAGGTCAATTCAAAGGAACGATGAGGAGAGAGTCGAATTGAGTTACCACCCAAGTAGCAGAATTCGTTGTTGATTGTTCGTGGTTTCGAAGATAGTTTCAATGGTCTCTAAAGTCTTCCTGTACCTTCACGGTGATCCTGATCGAGGCAAACTTACAACAGACAGTGCACAAATAGCGTCGACAGAATGCAAGAACCACTAATTATCTCCTTTCTCTTATTGTATTCTAATGGTAAGAACAGGCTCTTTCGAAATACCGTATTATCCTTCGTCTCACTACAACAACTTTATTAACATTAGCATATTTACTTAACGCATAAATTAAATCGATGGAAATATTGATAGAATTTTTGTATCTATAAATAAATCTTAATTATTCTTACTTCGTGTACATCAAATTGTCTTAATATTTGGGATAATATTATATTAAATTTAATTTTTTGACAACTATTTATTAACTACCTTTAATATATACATAATTACGATATATGTGTATACAGGTACAAGTGTCTTAATTAATTTTCTATTATATCAATATTTATTGTTAAGTATGCATCTACAGTGGCGATTTACATCATTCAAGTACAATGTTCAATTTACATAAGATCCAAGACACGCTACCGATAATAAAATTATTAATAAAAGCATGAGAGGGCGGCTCTCCGATCGAACTTGGAAAATTTAAGAGTAACTGCTATTACTTATACATTTCTTTGAGTTACGTCGTACTAACACGCAAACATAAAATCCTCTTTTGAGAAACACGAGTTCCTCTTTCTCTCTCTGTCTCTCTCTCTTTCTCTCCATTTTTTTTCTCTTTACAGTTTTTGCGCACAGTGGCACGAAAGAACCGAGGAATATGCGAAGTTGATTCGCGCGCGAAACCGCCTTAATTTTGTTTCCGAGCCCGCGGCGTTGATTCGAGATAATAAATCTTTACTCGGTGGCACTTTGTACCTGTGCTGCCGTGATCTTTTCGATGCGCCTCCTCGTTTATTTCTTACTACTTACGCATTCTTCAATTTTCTGCTTCCAACGTGCCAACGATTTCCTTTCTCTCTTTTATACTAAATTATAATCTTTTATAATCTTTTTAAATGTTTCTAACATCGGATCTAAATAAATAAGTGTTATCAATGGTTTCATTTAAAACTGTGTAAAGTAAATGTAATTTGGTTATCAAACATTTAATTTTTACAAGTTTAAGTTTAATGAAAAAATGATTAAATGAAATAAAATTCAAACCTAAGCTTGTAATCACATTTGTATATATTTGAATTGAAATATTTAATTTTTATGACAATTAAAAGGTATCTAAATCATTTTATTACAAAACGTTTATTAATTTAAAAAGCATAAATCAGTTGGTGCAAATCGATTAAGAAATAACATCTAGTGGCACTTAAAATCTCTTATGGAATGAGTAACACAGTCGAGTCGTACATACGTTCCTAATTACCAACTGCCGTCCATTACCCCCACAAAGCACTGTAATTGCGGCGAACGTAATTCGTGAGGCCGCGCCTAACTAAAGACAGTGTCCAAAAGAAATTTATCACTTAAAATCATCGCCATAGGGCCTTGCGAAATTAAAAAGAATTCTCGTACTCTTTCTCACGAAACGTGAAGCTCACAAAGACTCATAATTAATAAATTGATATTCAATGCGAATTCGATAAGAATTGTTTAAATCAATGATATAGGATATTAAATATTTCTATTAATTATTTTGATATATGTTCTGTAATGTTATTAGAAATACCCCAGCCCGCCCCCGCAAAAAAAAGAAATAAGGAAGAAAAAGATAAAAAATAAGGATTTACACGTGACGCAGCCTTTTCGCTGTTTTTTGCTCTAAACATTCTTTTTGTTAAACATAATTTAACAAGCATTTAAAGTGATTAAATCCAAGGCAGATAGCTTGTTAGCAGCCAGGACACAGATGCTAACAGATTACGAGTAGTTTTAAGAAGAAAACGATGACGTCTTGAAAGGGAGGAGGAGTCAGACCTTTTCGAACGATTCTTATGGTTGCAATTATGCGGTATAATTATCTCCGTCGGTCTAGTCAACCTTTTTCTCGATACGAAAGTGGTTAGTGGCACGACCGTGTAAAGGCACTACTTTCGTTATTATCTACCACGTGGAATGTTCGCATCCGGACGCATCCACGATCGTAATGCAACTACGATGATTACAGTGATTCAATGTGCTTGCAGACACAAAACAGACCCTTAGATATGTTCTACGCTAAAATTGCAATCAAGTATAGAAAAATACGTGGGAATTATAAAGTCGTGCGCTGTTAAGAAAGTAAATAAGTACTATGATTATAATTTCAGAGATGTTAATTTTAGAGAGATTAGGTGAGAAAGAGAAAGAGAGAGAGAGAACTTAACGATATTAGAATTAATGAGTTTGTAAAATGTTAATATTGTTCTTTTCCCATTTTCTAAACAAGTAAATGAGTATACTAATTTAACGAAATATACAAATTTTCGAAATGAAAATTCTTTCGCGATCGGTTTCAATGTAACCAAAAAAAAAAAAGAGAATCAATTTATATTCTCAGAACAATTCGATTTGTGATGTTTCGTGTTACGCCATAGACGTGTTGGGCCTGTTAATTAATTGCACGAAATTTATCGCGAAGCAGCAGCACCCGGTTATGTTGGAACTGATCGCTAGCGGTAGGGATGAGAAAGAAGTGTTTGAGTGGTCGTGATGATAATGGTGGGGGTAGGAGATACCTCGAACCCCAGCTACGATCACGGCTATTTGATATGCCGCGACACTCAAAACTCGTACATCACACTTAATCGTTGAATATGGAACAGACAGAGCCGGCGGTGGCATCCGGCATGCATATTTAAACTGCAATTGTACGCCGTTAACTATTGTCGGCACGCACACTCCCAGAAATTCCCTATTAGACTCCTGGAAGCTCATTTTTTTCAAATATCTCGAGTACCCTAAAGAGAGAGAGAAACGAAGAACATAATTTTGTTCCATCTGTATAAAATTATATTTTTCGCTGATAAACTTTATTTTACTGATCCTTTTTTCATGCCTTATGATTTTTACAAATCGTGTGCTTAGGTACACGAATTCCACTTTTATCGAACTCAGGATAATATGTTATCTAATTTATTGTACCATAAATACTTTTTGACTTATTTATTTATTAAGAATCTCTACATATCATTTATAAGACTTATTATTATTATATTGAATAATTAAATTAACTATCAAATTTTATAGAGGTCTAAGAATTAAAAGGAAAATATTAAATTTATTATATATAATACTCGTTTATATAAATCCAAAGTCTTCATCGTTTTTCATGATTCTATATTGATTTTTTCGTAACAAATTTATACGCAATTTTGGTTGAATTTTTTATCTTTTATGTTACATGTAAAAATACATGCATGTATACGAGCGTACATGCTCGTACATACGCGAAAGCATATTTTTAAAAAGAGTTTGAAAGAGAGAGAAGAAAACGTGGGACCGGTCAGGCCTGTATACAACTCAAAAGGTGAATTTATTGACTGGCGGGACCGATAAATTCTTTCGAGCTCTGTGTCAGGACGCAATGGCAGACGTTATTGAGCCATTAAATCGTGATTACCCGCGTGTTATTGGCTGCGGTGACACGTAGAAGGTACGTTCTTTTAGTTCCACTACCCTTTCCTTTCTCTCTTTGTTCTTTTAGCTTTACCAATCATTTCCATCGTTATGATCCTTTCATTTTTTTCTAATTGTTAAACCTCTAGGATAAAATTAATTTTATTTGAATACAAAATTATTTTTATTTATTTCCTAACAAATGATTAAAAAATTGAAAACTATTTCTTTTAATTTTCATCTCAAATTTCATACATTCAATACATTTTATATGTCTTATTATTATTTATATGTGAAATCTAGATATTATAATTTTTTAATAATTTAAAATTACAGAAAAAAAATATTTTAAGTAGGGGATAAAATTTTCTCGTATTTCTCTGATAAATTACTTTAACAACGAAAAAACTGAATATAAAATATAAAAACATGTTGTTTCACTTTTCCACTCATGTATGAAGAAACATTTCAATTATACAAGTATGTTTACAAAAAAATTCATCTCGATAAGAATCATTCGAATAATCATCGTAATCATCCTGATCATTATTTTATCAAAGTACTTATTAGAAAGAAAAAAAAAAACATTTAAAAAAGATAAAAATTGTTAGGCTAATCACGTTGCAAACTATTTTCGCAAAAACACGTATACCTAGAATACTAACTAAATGACACACAAAAGGTGGACACACGTTTGAACGCAAACGAATCTCGTCAAATAATAGAAAGGAGAAATCCTGGGAACGATTTAACGAGCACCGCTAATGACAATATCTTTGATAAATGTTTTATTCGGTCTTTAGGAAAGAGAGAAAGAGAGAGAAGTTACGTTGATGAGCTTCATTTGTAGTCGACTCGTCGTTCGCCTTCCGTTTATCATCGTTCGCGAGACGATTTGACGTATCGTTCGATAAAGTAAAAGGTCGTTGGAAAATATATCACTTCGTCGTTCTTTTCGTCTTGATTAATGCCAATTCGAGACACCAATGACGTTTCATCGTCGACGAAAATTTTATTAGCTGTTCGTGATAGAAAATTCTTT